ATATGCAGGGTATTAGACAATTACTGATATTTGACAATAACTGATATGTATTAAGGTATTCGACAATACTGGATTAGGACGATATGTATAAGATCAGTATTTTGGTATTCAACAGATTTGGATTTCATTATTTTCTTCTGTACTAAATTAATTTTTGAACATTACACAAATTAAATGCATATCGACATTAATTATAGAAATGTTAAATAATTACCTTTCACTAAGGTGAAGAATTATTTCGTCACGTAATAAAGAAGCCTTTTCTTTAAAATATTCTGTATATATTACATTATAATAAATAAAATTTAATAATTTTTGTTGAGAAGATACGTTAATTAATAGCAATAATAAAGTTCAAAGAAGTCAGCTTATTTATTCTGTTGTCTATCACTCTCAAGTTCGCTTCAAAATTTTAGCTTTGTGTTTATCTTGACACAAAGTTATTTGATTTTATGCTTTGTCTTGAAAGATATTTTAGCGAATAATATAGACAGAATCTTTAAAGAATTCTGCATATAACTTCAAAGAACTCTTGTACTCATAATATTACAATATTAGAAAAATGTTTATATTTTCTAAAAGATATTTGTATATTTTTTGTATTTTATGTTTGCAAGGAGAAAGAAATTTATATGTTTTAGAGAGAAGTGATTTAATGCATTCTGAAGAGAAGTTGTTTTTTATCATTGTTTACATGTCTTTTAAATATTATTGGGAATTTAAACTCTGATCATTGAATTAATTAGTAATCGAAACTACAGTATAATCTAGAGTCTTGTTAAATTTTATTTTAATTCTGATTTAACTCCAATTATTGAATAATCAGTGATCAATTCTACAGTATAGTCTAAAGCTTTATTTTGTCTAAGATATTCATGAAAAATATATTTAAGACAACTATTCGCATCATATATTTTCTTACTAAAATCTTTAAAAAACATTAATAAAGAAATAATAATACAATTAAAATATCATTATCTAAATAAGTATTTTATTATTGCGATAAATGTAAAGGGAAAAATATATTAATCCTAGAACAAAACAAGATCATATAGCTTTACCCAATATTGGTACATCAAGTACAAACATCAAAATATCAGCTTCAAAATATGAAGAACTTCTTCCTGAATTTCTAAGTGATAGTTCCAAAGATAGTAATTCCAAAGACAATGTTTTCGAAGATAATGATTCTGAAAACAATGATTCTAAAAACAATGATTTTGAAGACAATAATTTCAAAAACAATGATTCTGAAAACAATGATTCTGAAAATAGTGATTCTGAAAATAACAGTGATTCTGAAAACAGTAATTCCGAAAAGAATAATTCTGAAGAAAATAGTTCTGAAGAAAATAATTCTGAAAGCAATCAAAGTAAAGAATTGGAAAGCGAAGATGAAAGTACAACTAGTGATGCAAATGAAGATAATTTGGTATCTGGTACTAATACAATAAATTTATTTCTTGAAGATGACTTTGATATACAAACACCTACCTCAAAAAGATTAGCAAAAGGAAAATTTAAAGCACCTATAGATGATGATGAAGAGATGAATATTGAACCAACTACAGAAAAAAAGGATACATTTGATATTTATAACTTATCCGATAAAGACAATATAATCATAATTAGAGAAGATAATTATTCTTCTCCAAGTAGTTCTTCAAATAATTCTTCAAATAATTCTTTAAATGAATCTTCAAGTGATTCGCAAGAAAGTCGTGATCCTGTAAACTTTATTCCACTGGAAATCGATCCTGAAATTTTTGAACAACCATTTGACATTGATAACAATCGTCCAAATGATTAGATTACTTTATGAATAATGAAATATCAACAACATTACAATATTCCTGATACTGGTACAGAATCATTAATTAAATTTCTTTGGCATTTACTTTTGTATTTTAAAATCGATGAAGCCGATAGGCTACTGACTTCTATGTATACTGCGAAATCGTCTTTAGGCATTTTAACCAAATATAGAAAGTATGCTATATGTCTGAAGTGTCATAAGCTCTATGACCCATCAGTAATTAAAGACCATGTTCAAGACAATAAGCCAGAAAGTATGAAGTGTATAAATATAGAATATCCCTATCATCGAAATAAATCACAACGATTAGCATGCAATGAACTATTAGCAGTAAAGCTAAAAACAATAGATAGTATCTTATTACGACTATCGAAAATTTATCCAGTTAGAAGTATAAAGCAACAGCTCTATATGATGTATCAGAGGGCTAGCTTTGAAAATATGTTGTGGTATTCTAGTAATAGAAATGTTCTGAATAGAATTTTCTCTGACATATATGAAGGAAATATTTGAAAAAATTTCGCTATAAATCCAGAAAATCCTACACCATTTTTTACAAATGATACACTTGATAGTCATATCAGTCTAGCAATTAATATAGATTGGTTTCAACCATTCGATTATACAGTTCACAGTACTAGGGTAATTTATAGAGTATTGTGTAATTTACCAAGGGAAGAATGATTTAAACCAAATAATATATTAACTTTAGATATTATTCCTGGTCCAAATGAACCAAGTAAATATCCAATCAATAATTATCTAGCTCTAATCATCGACGAGTTAGTTGATTTTGCTTCTGGTATAGATTTATTAGCAACATTCGAATATAAAAAAGGATGCAAAATTTATGTCGTATTGATTCTATCATCAAACGATGTTCCAGCTGCAAGAAAGATTTGTGGTCATACAAGTCATGCAGTAAAATGTCATCACTGTCTAAAACGTGCAACATATGATAATTTATCTAAAAGAAGTTACTATGGTGGTTTTGAAAATATGGATGAATGGTTTAATCCGGTAGACATAATAAAATATTTTGATACAGTGAAAGAATGGTTAAATTGTATAAATAAACAGGAAAGAGATGATCATGTATCTAAAACGGGAGTAAGATGGTCGGAATTATATCAGCTAAAATATTTTGATCTAGTTAAATTTATAGTTGTCAACCCGATGCATTGTCTATTTTTAGATATCGGAAAATGGATAATGAAGCAATGTTTATTGAATAATAATAAACTTAGCAAAGAACAACTTAAAATTATTGAAAAGCACATGTCAAGTACTAAAGTTCCAGCAGATATAGGCTATGTTCCATCAAAAATAGCACAAAGGTCAGAAGGATTTAGCTGATTAACTGCAGATTAATGGAGAATTTTCTATGAAGTTTATGCTATTCCTTGTATGTAGAATATGCTAAATTTTGAAGATAGAGAAATCCTCTTTAATTTTGTTAATGTATATAATTTATTAATAAGTCAAATAGTCAAACAAAATGACTTAGATGAAGTGTATAGGCAATTAATAAAAATAGCTAAGTTAATTGAGAAAAATTATAGTCTAGAATTAATATCATCAAATATTCATCTTTCTATTTATATTAGGCAATGTTGTCTTGATTATAGTCTACTATATGCTTATTGATGCTATTCATTTGAAAGGATGAATAGTCTATTAGATTCTTATCCAACAAGCAATCAGTCAATAAAACCAGAACTCAGGCGTATTCTAAGAAAAATGTGCAGGTAGAATATAGGATAAGTTTAGTTAATAGAAAGAATCATGAATTATCACTAGACAAAGTTCTTTTACTTTTAAATAAAAAATATGCGGAAGTTTAAAGATGACTAAAAATTTCAAAAGTGAAGATTTAATAGCATATATTGATATAGCAGATAAAATTAATACAAATATTATAACAAGATCAGAAAGATATCTTAGTGAGATGATAAAACTGATATATGAAAATATACAATTTCCAGAAAATGTTTATCAAAATCTAAAAGATTATTATACAACTCTCTATGAATTAATATCACCATTAATTGATAAAGTTGCTACACAATATGGAAGATTAAAATTAGAATCAGAAATATATAGATCAAAGATTGCTTCTAGTTATGTTAATCTTTCATATATTAGAGCAAAATTTATTGCTTATAAAGGTAAATTAGTTAATATTTATTCAGAACAAATACAATTCTTTTTAAAGTATAAATATAATGATAATATACACTATTTAGCTTATATAAAATAGTATTGACTATATAATACCTGTAGATTTTCTCTATTATTAAAGAATAATAATCATTGCAATATTGAAATCTGGTATGAGAAATTTTATCCAGAATCAAGAGATTGCATACTCTCTATACAAAGGAAATTAGACTGATTTATTAAATCAACATATAAATTTAGACATAGTAATAGACAACAACAAGTATTAGTTGTAATCCCTATAAATAAACATTTTAATTTATAGTAAAATTTATATTAGTATAAAATATCTTCTTAAAA